ACTCGCAACGTCATGTGACGTGTCGTGACATATCGCAACTTCTTTGCAATGGGGTGGGTGCGGTTCTGCTATGATGCATCTGGCCCGCGGGCCGGCAATTTGACACCCCTGTTCTATGGGAAGTGAGGCCGTTTTTATTATTCTAAATGACTCCCATGGATAATGTAAAAAGGCAGCATCTTTTAGTGTATTATTGGCTTGGCATCTTCTGGAAAATGTCCAAGCATTAACCATAATTAATAAATCAATACTTTGGATATTAGTGAGTTGGAAGAATGAGTACGTTAGAGAATAATCAATCTGAGTAAACCCACACAAAATTCACCTGAGTAAACCCACACAAAATTCAATTGCCCAAATAATGTAGTTGAGCTTGAAAAGCATTTCTGGGAATCAGAAAAGGAAACCAATCCCTTTTGTTCTGTTTGCTCTTGTTCTGATGACTTAGGACATATATAATTTTTATTCCCAATGGTTGCTAACTTGTATCAATGGTTTTAAAACAGTTACAATTGCTACTGTATCTCATTCTCCCATTATTTTTTCATAGGCAGAATTAAACTGGAGCTTTGCTGCATATTCAGCTTTTAGTACAACTGAATAGATATAGACCATCATTCTACTGAATTTGAAAAGTGGATTATACAGATGTGAGGAATGCTGGTTCCAGACAGTTTTATATTTAGTTGGACATTGATATCATTTAAAAAAAATGTTTACTACCCTACCGATTAACACACTTAATGGAAGAGTAAATGAATGGAAGCATTATTGAAAAAAGAACATGGAATGATAATTAAGATAGAAACTATTCTTCTGAGCAGTTTTTAGTAGGAGCATCACTGGAATGGGATACTTATTTTAGATAAACGTCTTGTATTACTTTCCTCTTTTCCATCCTTAAAATTAAGCAGACAGAGGAATTAAGTAAAATCGTATGTAATAACAGAAGTATTAAGTAAAAAGTCAAAAGGAGTCTAGGAACATTTTTTCAGATTACAAATTTTATTTAAAGACATAAATTTCATGGCCTGCAGATCACTTAATTTCCAGAGGCATAGGCTAACATAGCTCTCCTTCTTTCATGTCTACAATGACAGATATTGAGTAGTTTTTGACATTATCTCTTCAAAATGGTTTGTCTGACATTGTCTTTAGTCATGGTTCCAGTATTGGATGATGGACTTTTTTCCTTATGTCGTTTTAATGCGCATGTGTATGTTTTCAATATTGTACTGCTTATATTTTAACATTGACATTTGTTACTGTGGGAAGTCAGCCCCCCAGAGAAGGAATTATTAAAAGGGCAGAACAATATATTTCCTCAAAGGATCTTAAAGAGGCAGAAAAGCATGCCCAGTTTTTCTTAATAGCCCCAAGTCTCCCTCCCCCAAGCAGAAACCAGCTCTGTAGAAATGCAGATGTAAAGGAAGGTTGGAGGCCCCCAGCTAGAAGATTAAGAAGACAAAGGCATTAAAATCTACACACCCCACCTAAACTCTAAGACAGGACATAATAGGATTAATCCACAGATGCCAAAGGGACACACTCAGACACAGGAAATACAAAGCCTCAAACAGGAACAGGAAACAACCTCAAGAGCCCCAGAGGGTATAAAAACCCACTCCCTACATGTACTCTCTCTCTCTTTTCTTCCAGAGCCATCTTTCTTTCTGGCTCTCCTCTTCAATAAACTGCAACCTTCTTTCTAAAGCAGTTGCCATGTTGTTTATTCCCGGCTTGAACCACGGTGAAGACTTTTCCTTCAACATTACTTTAAATGTTTAATTTTATTTACAAAATATTAATAGACTAAGCAATGTCCAAGGAATTAAAATTGTTACAATCAATTGATTATTGTTAGCTGGTCTGAGAATACAAATGAAACAGACAGATATGCACCTTTTAAAGCAGTTGCAAGCACTGCAATAATCATTGTGATGGGTCCTTGGTGCTCTCTGAGCTTGGTTATTTTCTTGCAAATGTTTCATTACCCAAACTAGGTAACATCATCAGTGCTAGTAAAAGTGGGGTTTGCCTCAATTTATATTCTAATGGCTTCAGTGGTGGGATTCAAATATGTGAACAACTGGTTCTCTGTGTGGATGCCACTTCCGGAAGTCCATTCTGGGCCTGGGCAACAAAAAATTAGCTACTGGTTCTGCCGAAGTGGTGCGAACTGGCTGAATCTCACCACTGAGTGGCTTGTCGTGTCAGTGTGGGTAGGAGTGGTCTTCTTGGAGGTTTTTTGGTTGGGCTGTTTATTATTATTAGCTTGATTGGCAGTTCTTTGATTGGGATATTGTTTGCTTCTTGATTGTTGGTCTGATGTTACTCTTGGATGTTAATCAATGCTCATCTGGGTGTTGATTCTGGTAGGGAGGTGTTTCGGGTTTTGGGGATTATTGTCTCTTTTGCATGGTATGTACATGTTGTTTATCTCTGTGACTATTGATGGCCATAATTTCTCTAAGCATTACGTTGTAATTACATTTATTTTCCACAAAAATATTACTCTTTGGTTACTGCTGAGGTATGTGTAGCATTCAGGGCTTTTTTTCAGCCGGAACGCGGCGGAACCGCGTTCCGGCACCTTTTTCCGGGCCGGCCGCACCGGAAATAGCCCCTCCCACACCGGAAATAGCCCCTCCCAAATTTTACTTGCATTCCTGTTCTCTAAAGGGGCGGTCCTAGGGTTTGATGAGGGCGTGGCCAGGTTTGAGTTCCGCCACCTTTTCTCCGAGAAAAAAAGCCCTGGTAGCATTACAGTCAAAAGAAGCTGAAATGACCTGCATATGTTTTTCAAGGTTAACAGTACTTGTTATGCTTGTGTATAATCATCATGACATATGTCAAATATGATTACTTTGATGAAAATACTTGGCCTTTTGCTGCCTCAACTGGAAGTATCACCATATTCTGTAATGGCTAATGCAATATGTAGAATTATCAATCATCCTTGAATTGGTTAGAATTTTATTTTTAGAAAGTTATAGAACTTTTTAAAGGTAATGTATGTCAGCAAGTAATGGAAAACCACAATCTGGTTCCCTTTGTATAAGATTTCTTTATAAACCAGAACACTAATCTGCAACATCTAAGTCCTATGCTTTTGAAACTATTTGAACAGCTCATAAACATAATGAAATAGTAAAAATGAATGTTTTCTTCTCTATTGATCCTTTTATTCCATAAATTAATATGTAACCTAATGTTTGGCGACTGTTACTTTTTCAGTCAAGCAATTAGTTCTCTTTATTTTCCCAAGATTGATGCTTTATTCCATAGTTACTCAGTTCTGTCTTATTGGGCCTGATCCATTATTTAGCAGCAGGATGTTCCAGAGTTCAGGAGAGTCTAATTTTCTGGAAGAATTATCGTTATGATAGCATCATCTATCTATGGGCCAGTGAACTCGTTCCAGGTTTTTACTTCAGTGAATGGAAGTTCATAGTGTGGTTGAATGTTTAATAATATCTAGTTCTGTCTACTTTATTTCAGAATCTAGATGTAATTCCAAAGCTTTAAATCATGTGTGTTCAAGAGTACAAAAATTTCCATCTGAATTTGTCATTTCTTAATTTTCTCCTGGAATGTCATTTTCAGAATCAGAAGAGGTAGTGTTGCTGACATCTATTTCAAAAAGCTGTTTTAGAATATAGAAATATGTTTAGCACATTCCACTTGTAAGATATATCATATAGTAGTAATATTTAAAATAGATCATAAACAAAAGAAAATTAGCATAGAAAAATTAAAAAATGTAGACATATGGATGCAGATAGATCAGAGGTATCGCATCTATATATCTGCAAAGAGACATATATAAGTAGTTGCTCTCCCAGAACACACACATACTCACACAGACATAATTTACATACACCCACACAACTTCTTCTCTGTCTTATACTCCATATGCACAAAAGCCTTCAGATTTAGTGACGAAAGTGCTGTGTTCTTTGTAGCATTGGTGGTGGCAGCACAGTGGTTTACAACCCCTTGAAGAAAGAATGATTTACTAGGGCTTTTCTTTTCCATCTAAGATGTGATCACACTTCATCTCCAGCCATAGCCACACTGTGGCTTCTTTTCCCTTTAACAAGCAGAAAGAACGAGTCTTGGGGGCTCTCCCTTCTTTCTTCTCCCACCAAAGCACAGCACAATTGAAGGTGGTACCACAAGAATGATGGGAAGATCCTCTTCGTCTTCCCCACTGCCTAGCCTTCTCCACCATGTATTTATAGATAGCAGTCAATTACAGTGATTGTCACTGCTGCTACCCATTTCTCACTTCTTCTATCATGGCTTTGTTGGCCGTGTCCACATCCTTCTGCTAAGGTGTGAAGCAAGTCCTATATCTCTGTGGAGGAAAAGAAATGTCGCTGAATGAAGAGTAAGAAGTCAAATTTATTTCAGCATTGATTTTTCTGGTTTACTTAGGAGAAATTTAGATAATGGTACCTAGTTTGTACTCTTTGCACGTTTACATGACCTAGAATGAAATTGTTTATTGAAATACCCACTTAGTAGAATTTTGCAATCTTCTTTGTATGTTTAAAAGAAATGTATAGGAAATCATGTTACATGCAGTTGTGTGTTATTTGCATATAACTAAGGATATGGTGCACAAAACTGCACAAGGCACTTGGCAAAATATGAATATTATAAAATGTGCACATAAAAATGTTTACATAAGAAAAAATTAGCATTTAAATGCATGAAAATATACTTTTAATAAAAAATATAAAACTGAAAAGTTAAGTATCACTAAATTGATGACCAATTGGTCATATGCATTCATTCCTAATTTTAGGCTACAATATAAGTCTGAGACCTGACTTATTAAACATTAACCAATGTTGCTTATACCTCATAATAGTAATGTTGTAGTAATTGAATAACCACACATTTTTCTTCTTTTTTATGAAGAATAATTTAATATCATATCCTGAAGTGTTTTTGCTCAATTTTAAGGGGTTTTCTTCTTTTTTCTTAAATAGGATGTTTTTCAGGAGACAGTGGACATTTTTTGGCAGTTCATCAGAGGAAGAATTGGAAGCCAATGTTCATTTATCATCATGTGCAAAGTATTGAGAAAAGTTTGGATACCAGTGATCAGAAGAATTATGGAAAAAAATTCCACTTGCCTTCCCATGTAAAAATAGGCAAATTACACCCTGCAATTATAGTTAACTCAGCATTCTCCAGACCAGCATTTGACCCAAGTCTCAATCTCTTAGCTATGGCGGGAGAACATCAGGAAGTGGAAAACCTGCCCATCCCAGCAGCTAATGTGATTACTATGGTAAGTTCCTTTAGTCTTCTAAGGCATTTTAGTTTCTTAATCATAGCTCAGCTCAGGAATGTTTAGTCCCAACTTTCTGAAATAGCTACTCAGCAGATGCATAAGAATAGTTATTCATGGAATTCTCAAGCAGTGTAAGAAACATTGTCGGAACATGTATGAATAGTAACAAGTTGAGAAAGCCAACTTTATTGTGCTGTTGGTTTCCAGAATTCTAATGGAAACACTGTGAGGAATATCTTTCAGGAAAGCTAGTCCTGAATTTTCTGCTTCCCCCACCACCACCACCACATAGTTCAGGAACTGGCAACTGATTTATTCTGAAGTCAAAAAAACCTCTCCAAAGTATATAGTGGACATGGTCAAAGATAGAGTGAATGAAATCCAAATTTGGTCCTTTTTATTATTATACATTTTGGTTGTTAAGGAAACTCATTCCTTACTGCAAAAAGAAAAAAAAAGAAAGAAAGAAAAAAGAAAAGGGTTAGGGTTAGGGTCCCCAATATGTTTAATGTTTAAAAGAAAAATTTGGTTCCATTTTGGTGGTGCATTCCTGGAGATTCTCAGTTGCAGTATTAAATATTTCAATAAAATAATGTAGAACTCTTGTTACTATAGTCCTTAATGAATTGCTTGAAGAGACCATTTGTGAATGTGAACTAAGGTTTTGCTTGTAGGATAGAGATGAGATCCTATCTACCCCATCTTAGCTATCCTAAACAATATCCATTTAGCTTAATATATTTGCATTAATTATACAAATCTCTGTGTCTCAAGAGTAGTGTGAAAGCCCCTTGCCATGGTTTGAATGTTTCCCAGGTGAATTATTTTATATAATTTCTACCTGAAGCCCAAAGTCAGCATATCTCCATTAAATACCTAGCAGGAAACCTGAATTTCTCTTTTTAATGCTTTTGCACAAAACAGTGACTGTGATTAAAACAAGTCCAACCGAGAACCAAATGGGCAATATGGCTGGGCATAAGACTGTGAATTATGAACCCAGAGAGGATCATTTAGTAGTGCACACAGTCTTCTGTCAGTATATATCTGTGGGCCATTGTTCTTTTTGCCTTGCTTCCCTTGGATGGAGATAAACACTATTCCAAGCTTAATTATAGGGAGGTCAGCTGCGACCTGGCTAATAGTGCCTCTGGGAAGTCTTAAGAGAACTTTTATCAATGGGGTTTCTCCCATATTCAGGAGAAGCTGTCACCCTTCAGGCACTTTTAATAAATTCGGTTTTGAGAGCTGATTTTTTTCTGTGCCTCAAAAATAACCTCTGTTTAAAGCTTTTATAGAATGAATACACCATTATTCCTGCAAAAGGAGAGCTCTACTATTCACTTCTTTCTCATTCTTTCTGGTTTGGTATTTTTGGGAGAATGGAAATAACTGTTTTTGCTTATCACTGTTTGTTTTTCAGGAACTGTTCATGAAAGAGCTCTTTCCTCCAAGATCTTTTGAAGGATTATATTGTTTTCTATCATTGTCATTGTAGGACAGGGCAGGGAGTGCGCAATCTTGTGATGTCTCACACCCATAGTGGGCAAAGCAAGGTCATAGAGCAAGCAGGACTCAACATACTTACCAGGGGCTAGAAAGTTGTCCCTTTTTCTGTTTGGTGGAGATATACATGAGGCATATTTTTTATGTCTTGCTTTTTCAGCCTCTCAAGGGAATGGGAAACTGAAATTCATTGTGGTTAGATAAAAGCGTGGGTTGAAAGCTTTTTATTGATCTCTGAGGTTGCCTATTGCTCAATTCTATCCATAGAATTGATTATCCTGTATTTCATAGAAAGATTTGTCCAAACATACTTATTTGCATGTGCTTATATGCATATATGTAATAGATATTGTGTGTCATCTATATGTGATATATACAGGGCTTTTTTTCTCATAGAACAGTCAGAACGGAGTTCCGGCACCTTTTTTGGATGGAACCTTGTAGGGTAGGCAAGGCGGGTTGTATGACGTGTGTGAGTTCCGGCACCTTTTTTTTTTTTTTTTAGAAAAAAAGCACTGGATATATATATATATATATATATATATATATATATATATATATATATATATATATATATATATATATATATATATATATATATAGTCCTTAATAGTATTAAAAACACGAATCCCGGGTATACACATAATATGAAATAAAATAAGGTGATCACCAGGATAAAATCATAAACACAAATGTTTAATCTACAAAACCAAGCTTTCGTCGGCCACACTACCAATATTGTCAGGGTATAAAATGCTGGATCCGGGAGTCCGTTTTTATGTGGCTGGCTGCCTCTGCGCTTTGACCCTAGATTGGGTCATTGGTCCGCTCATTAACATCGGCTTTGTAGTTCTTAAAGGGGCCGTTTCTAAAGTTGTCCTCTCCTCTCCAATTGCTGTTGTTTTCTTTGTGCGTGTGTGGGTGCCTGGAGATCCGCTGTTCATCCACTCCCAGTCATCTCTCCCCACCCCCTTGGCACTTGCCCTGGTCCCACCCCCTTCTGCCAGAGACCCTCAGATCTGTCCTACTCCTGCCTAGGCCCCCACAGGCACCTTTGACGCGAACGATGTAGAGCTGGCCACACCCACCCAGTAGGCCACACCCACTCTATCCACGCCCACCCAGTAGGCCGCATCCACCCTAGCCACACATACGTATGCGTGTGTGTATAAAGATAGTGAGTTTAGAAGATAGATAGATAGATAGATAGATAGATAGACAGACAGACAGACAGACAGACAGACTTTGAAAAAAAAAGAAATCCCTTCTCATCCTTATGTAGTGTGCTTCTTCCTCAATCCTGAGTCCTCTATCAGAGCCCTGGGAGTTTGAGAGTTCTGCACAGGATCTTAGTTGTTCCTAGCACTGTACTCTTCTAGACAGAGAGGTCGTATGTAATTCCTGGGATCTCTTGGAGCCACTCTCCTGGCTTAGGAGTCACAGCCCTGATTGCTCCTACCAGCATTGGGACCACTTTGGCCTTTACTTACATCTCCAGCTCCTCCTTCAGGCCTGGAACTTCTTCAGTTTCTCATACTCCTTCCTGATATTGCTCTGCTACATCTATCACCACTGCTAGCTTTTGGTTTTTGTCTACTACATCGATATCTGGTTAATTGGCTAGTATCTGCCTGTCTATCTGGATCTGGAAATCCTATAGGATCTTAGCCCTCTTATTTTCTATAACTTTTTGTGGGATTACACATTTCCAGATAATTCACCTTAAGGCTTAAGCAGACTTCTCTGGCACTGCATGTTGGGGAATATATGCATCTGTTATTCAGGGATTGATGCGTAGGCATTCCTTTTATATGTCGGCGAATTTTAACAGTCTGGCTAGGGACCCCTCAAACAGCAAAGTACAAAAAAGGAAGCTGGGTCAACCAATTAGCATGCAGAGCGCACACCTTTGCAGTTGGAATTTGGGAGGTGTTTGAGTCAGCCTGATTGCAGCCCTCTACAACCTCCACTTACCCATCAACCCCTTCACAGTGTAGGTATGTGGCGATGGCTATGGGCAGTTGTGCGCACCTCTAAATCAGCCTTTCCCTGAAAAGTTTGCTATGAGAATAAAACAAGAGGTTTGGTGGGATGGATAACATACATATTGTTCTGAACCCATTGAGAAGAAGGATGGGATGATAAAAGAACAACAGGAGCAACCATAATATATTCTCAATGGGACTTTGTGCTTTGAGCCCAAAGGATTTTAATTCACAATCAGTTGCTTTGCCTACTCAGAACAAAGTGTGGGGATTCCAAGGCTGATTAGAACCCCAGGGCATCCTAGTGCCTTTCAAACTGAAGTGGGCAAGGGACAGGAGGAAGGTCTCAGGTGAAGTGAAAGCCTTGGTTTTTGTCTTGAGAGTTATTTCTACATGGTTAACAATTAGAAAAGATGATAATTGCTAAAGAATTACATTTCTTGAATTTCTTATGACAGAACAGGGTTGCCTAAAAATATTGTTCTTCTCTCTCGCATAGCCTTTTTTAAGAGAACATGATCCTGGACTTCCGGTGGGACAGCGCGCCGATGGCGGCTCTTTTCGGAGCCGTCCTCTTGGGAAGGCGTCAGAGCCAGCATGAACAGCGGCCAGCAGCTGTTCAGCGGCTTGGAACCTTGTGCCCCGGGAGAAGGGGTCGAGGTGAGTACTCCTGGATAGGAGTAGAGTCCCAAAAGCTCTCCCTTTATTTCGGGAGAGCGAAATTGGGTACTCCTCCGGAGTCCGGGAAATCTCCGCCTCCCAAGTGCCTTTGTTCCCTTTTTTTTTGGGAACAAAGCCAGTCGTTGCCTCCACTTCTGTGAATTATAGAAAACTGTGAGTAAATAATAACCAGACGGAACTGACCAGGGGAAACTGGACTTGAGTAACCTAAGACTTTAACTCAATTTATTAACATCTTCTTTAAAGTTAAGTTGAAATGAGGAAAAAAAAATGGCTGCGGTTTGCCGTTTTTTTATAGATGAGATTGACTTTCCTTTTTAACTTTCACTTTCCTGCAGCGTTGAATGAAGAGGGAAATTGTTACCCCTTGGCTTAAGGTTGTAACTTTGACATATTTTTTCTTTGGGTTTATGGAAAGTTTTGGTGATTATTTTTTTTCTTTTAACGGAGAGAATTTTGGATTTGGATTTTGGATTTTCCCCCCCTCTTTTTTTTCTCCGAGGCTTGGATTAAAGAAGTTTGAAAAATGGCTTTGTTTAATGGAACTTCCGCTTTGTTTAAAGATCTTCAATAGTCTATAAGGATATAGAGAAGAGGCAGTGATGGACTCAGCTGTGACTTTGGGATGCAATTTTAATACTTATAGAAATGGAAAATTATGGTATTGCACTTCAAGGGAAGCAGTTGGGGGATATTACTGCTCTTTCTGGAAGGAGGGAGAAATAGCTGTAAAAGCGGAAACTGGATTGGAAACAACTAAAGAATCTACAAGGATACAGAGAAAAAGCAGTGATGGACTTAGCTGTGACTTTGGGATGCAATTTT